GGAACTCGTGTCACCCTCTTTCCTCTGCTCCATTTGGTATACTATCATATTTTGGAAAGAGATACCACATCCAGGGAGTCAGAGCTACCTGAACATCCAGAACAAGGAGTTAGAAAAGGCAGGGTAGCCAAGAACCACATAAATGCCAATGGTGGTCTGAAATGTAAAATGCTGCAATGAGAGCTGCCTCAGGGACTGGACATTTTCCACCAACCTTCCAGGCCACCAGGTATCATGCAAGCTCTGCTGAAACGCATCTGTAAACCATGCTGCTTTTTTTGTTGATGACAAAACACAGTCTGCAACATGACCATCCTCTACTTCCTTTCTCTTGTTTAAGGATGTAAAGATGCTGTGGTTAAAAAAAAAAAACACACACACACACAAAAAACCAAAAACCCACAAAACCAAAAAACATCCCCTGATCCCAGAAACAATAATGGGCCTTCAGCATTACTTTGACTGCCATAAGACTTCCGAAGAACCTAACTTTAAGACTTATTTTCTTTAATACAAATAGAGCTCCAGCAGCTGTGGTGTTTACTGACATGTTCAGCATATGGAATTGAGTGCACAAAGCAACACAAGGTAAAAGAAGAAATGTCAGCAGTCTTTACAGTAATCATACCTATTGTTTGATTTGTAGAATAATATATTTATTATTTTAAGATGTTTACTCCACTAGCTGTAGAAAAAACCAAAAATCTACATCTTTGCATCTGAAAAAATCAAAAGAGGAGATAAAATAATTGCTCCTAACAGGGAAGAGGACCCTTATCTAGGCTGGCTCCTTCGAAAGGATACTGCCAAGGAATACACACTTTTTCAGAAAGCTAATGCTAGTCTTGGAATACAGCCTTTATACTGTATTTTATTATTTCTAGCAGAGAGATGAGTAGAAACTCATGTGGCTAAAAGGACATGGAGACTTCCCTGCTGGAAACGTAGCTGGCAGGGGAAAGTCACCAGTGCTCCCAGCACCAGTTGCTTTTCCTTTTTTTCCCGTTTCGCAGAATACATCTGCTTGTCCTCTCTCTACTGAATCCAGGGCACACTGGGGACCATGGGAAGGGCAGATGGGGAAATGGAAGCGGAACAGATTAGGACCATTGTAGCTACCACTTGATGATGACCAAACATGAGTCCAAAGGTTACTCTTACTCGCACTGTTGCCAGGTAAAAGAGATCAAGGTAATGCATCCTACTCTTTGGAAGATCTTCACACAACAAGCGCCCCAATATCTCCAATATCTGAACACAGGGTGACTTTACCGTAGTAAAGAGGTGCCCTATCAGAGGGGCATCCAAGTGTGGTGAGAAAGAAGCAGGTTTGCCAGTTTTGTTTCTGGAGTTTTCCCTCTTAACACTAGCAAAAAATCCTACCAGCAGGTACGTTATGTGAGACATAGACATGGTCCAATATCTCCTGTCCCATTCCTTTACATTTGTAATTTGGGAAAGTGAAAAAGCTTTGGTGGAGGTCTAGGACCGCACCAAACAAAAACGTAGACAGCATTGATCCATGGCATGCCCAAGATGTAATAAAGGACTGGTATATTGTTATGCATTCCTAATGTATAAATTATAAATTAACTTGCACCTAGAATACTTCTTTGGACAGAGCGTGTGGAACGTCAGGTAATTTACCATCAACAACGCAGTTGCTTTAAGGACTCACTTCAACAAAAATATATATGAGAGCTATTACTGTGCTGAAGCGTGGGTGCTGCTCCACAAGATGGGGTCATTAACCAAATAATGTGACTGTGCTTTATTTTGTTATTATGATTTCTTTTCTTTCTGGTATTGTTATGTTTTGAAGAATGAGTATATTACTAAGATTGGGAGATTATTCACTTTTATATTTAATTTTATGAATATTTCTGTATTTTGCTGTTGATGTGGGGAAAATACTGCGCCTTATGGTTCTCGTACTATGTGAATTTGTTGCTAATATTACAGCCATTTTAATTTATGCTTTATGAATATGTACACACCTGGGAGTACTTGATAATGAGTGCAAGAGAAGACAAACTTGCACCCACTAATGGATTAATTTATTAGTGTCTCACATACAACACGTAACCTTGTGTCTGGGTTGTGGTTTGCTGGGTTTTTTTCTTAGCCATATTAACACGGATTTTTCAAGAGAGGTTTCATTATCCTGGCTGCATCCCAACCTATACTATGAACAGAAATATAAAGTCAACTTCTGAATGGCATTGACTGACAAAAGAGAAAGTTTGGTATAAAAATACTCACTGCAGCCTG